TAGTGATGTAACAGGTGATTTATTGTGGAGTTTCATCAGCCTCAGTAGCCAACCTCCTAGCAAGGACAATATGGACTCAGAGAAATGAGAATGAGTCACATCCCTGCTCCACCATATGACTGGTTATTCAGCAAGGGTATGTGAATTGAAATAGTGTTCTCTAAGCTTCTGGAGGGTAAGATAGGGCTGGGAAAAAAGAGAAAGCAGCATTGATTGATATCATTATGCAAGGTGGGGAGAAAAAATACTTTACCTTTATTTCTTCAATGCTAAAATATAGTTACAAATTAGAAGTGGAAAGTACAAGGAGGCAGATGCAATTTGCATTTAATTACTAATTTAGAAGAAACAATTCAGTTTCATTAATTTATTTCTTTTGTTAGCTTCAAGGGTAGAACTATCTTAAGTAAATTATTATTTCTCTTATTTGGCATTTAGGTAACCACCTCATTCTCCTAACTATTAAATAAAAACAGTAACAACAAGAGGATAGGAAATCTTACATAGTCAATGATGAATTTTACTACCTGATTACTTGAGAGCATTGGTAAGATCAGTTTTCATTCAATAGATAACATAAGTGAATGTCTGAATAAAATAATAAAAATACTTACAGGCATAATAAATAAAAATACTTATTATGTTAATTGTCATAAGCAATTAAACCTATCAAGGACCTCTAAAGTGGGTACTATTTATATCCCTATTGCAGACACTGAGAAGTTAAGCAATTCACTAAAAGTCACTGGGTTAAAACCCCAATCTCAAAACTACTATGCAAAACTGCCATGTGTAAGTCAACTACTTGTAAAGTCTATTTGATAATACTTCCCCTCTGTATAAAAAATGTTCCCTGTAGGTGAGTTTACCCTTCACAAGGTAGTTATGCCACTAACTAGAGTCAAAATTCCACCTGACAATTTATGAAAATATTGCCAGAGGTCATTATACTTTTACTGGTTACATAAATTTAATAAGAATGCATGTTCTTTAATATGAATATAAACCTTGAAAGGAGAGTTCATCAGCAATAATGAAAAGTCCAACAAATCTCAGATCAGCCCTATAACACCTAGATTTGGTTTATATAAATACATGTTCATTAGTCAGATCTTAATGTGTAAGATTATAAGTTGAATTAAGTTGTGGAAGGTTAATAAGATGGAAGATGGGAGGAAGAGGAAATAAAAACTCGTAATGCTAAAGAAGCCATTTTGCTGATTCTTACATGGACATGGTACACATTTTCATATTTCAAAACTCAGGTGGGGGAGTGAGGCACCTTTTTGTAACACATAACATATTGGTAGCAGATACCTAGCAAAACTTTAAGCTTAAATTCTTGTGGTTGATACTACTACTTTATTAAAAATAAAATGAAGATACAATTATATTCTTCATAATGAGATAAATCCTGAAAATATCTGATTTCAGAAAATATTCCAGTTTCAATTTAAATCTGCACAAGTAGAAATGTTTAGTCATTAATTGAACTACCAGGCAATTTCTCAGTAAAAGCCTACTTTTTAAAGTCAAACAAGTTACAGAGGCATTGTTGATCTATATTGTTTAGGGTGAGTTTTAACAGATAGAGGTTAGGTACTGGGAACTACTAAAAACTGGGAGCTACTAAAAACTTGTGTTATAGTGACAATAGGCCAGAGATTTAGAATTGTCTCCAAAGTAAAATTTAAATAAATCACTGAATAAACTCTCCTGTGAGATTTGGGAAATGCTGGATTTAGATCAGAGTTAACTTTCCTGGAAACTATTTGTGATCAACCATCACATGAAAGCTCTACAAAAGTTACTTCTACCTATGTAGATAGGGTGGCTCTTGTGATTTTAACTTGACAGTAGTCCTGGAATACTGGCCTTGAAGAATTCCTCCTCTAATGTATAGCATTGCAACAAAGTTGGCATGGGGAAAATATTGGAAAATAGGGAACATTTGGAAAACAACTTCATAAATATTTATTTCAAAGGACAAATGCAATGAAAGGTTTTAGAGATGAAATAATGGAATAACAAAACCCCAAGAGTATAAGAATGATTAAGTGAATTGAAATTTTTCAATAAATCTTCCAAGATCTTACATGAGTCCAAGGAATAAATTTTGCAACAACAACAAAGTATTATATAGGGGAATGTAGGCAGATCATCTGACAAATAGGATGTAATAACTTGGTTCAAGAACAGGATATCAGATGGTTTGGAAAAACTCATATTCTACACTGTGTCATGGATGGTTTATTAAAAATGAAGCCTAAAGTTCATGATAAATTCTTGTGTGGAAGAATAGATGATATGACAAAAAAAATTTTAAAGTAATGAATTTTGATGATTAGGGAATGGTATGAATGGGATAGAAAATCTAATGTAAAAATAAGACTAATTTTCAGGCAACTTCTTGTGGTTTTCAAGTGTCAGAAATAAAGAAAAAAATAAGAGATTTAATATGTCTAACTTAGAAAGGGCAATGGAATTTGAATTTAAATAACTGCTAGCTATAAGAAACTATGAATGGGAAAAGTTAGGATACGTGAAGATGTGAAAATGTAATATCTAAAATTTTTATTTTAATCATAGCCAAAAAAAAAAATCTTTTGAATAAACAGAAGTGAATAATTATGTTGTGAGGTGACTGAGTGTTTATCTGGAAAGGTGAATCTTGGGTGCCACCTACCTAAATATGATACACACGCCTGAATGCAGGGAAGATAGGACCCTGGGAAATGAGACAAGATTAAACAAGGAGGTTAAAGACTATCTTCTGAGATATAATACTAAGAAATAAAATTTTAAAATATCCTCCACTCATCTAAGGTAAAAAAAAATAATGAGATGGAGAATAAAATGAAGAGTTTCTGATGTGGGGAACTAGAAAATTAATACAGGACATCAAGAAGATCACTATCACATGTAGGACTGTTAATGTCACTGAATGAAAGAAATAGTAAATATCCTATAGAAAAAGATCTCTGTCCTGCATGTCTAAAGTCATAAATTCAATTTAACTTCTTCCCCAAAGTTATCATTAAAGAAACTTACTGGATAGCAACAGAAATTTTATATCCTATCTTCTCTTATTTTAAGAAATAGCTTTTAAAAAGATATGGTCAATTAGTATCCATGATTTTTTCCTTTAAATATGTTTCTGACAGACAGTTATCCACAAATCAATATATTTCAAGTTGATAAGATTATTGACAAGGAACTAGAAAGTTTTGAAGAAAGTTATATATCCTTATATAAATTTGGATCATATGCTAGACAAACAATAGTTTTATATATTTTGTCCATCTCCACAGTAGGTAAGTAACAGTTCACCTTTAAAATCATGTTCTGTACCCTGTCTCAGTTATAATTATTCTATGGTTGTTATGATCATTAAAGGCAAGATACTTCTAAAAATAAATCCTTTTAAGAAGGATAGCTTTCTTTCAAGGAATATACTATAAAACTTCTACAATGGAATTAGCTAAAGCTTATTTTGTTATTATTATTATTATTATTATTATATAACTTTAGTTCCTAAAGTTTGGAGGCACTTTTATAAATAATTCATTCTCTATACTTTGGAAAGTAATGTCCAAATGTTAGACTATTCATATTTAAATACATTTTCACACGCTAACCATTAAGCTAAATTTAAAAAGAAAATAATAGAGATATTTTATAAATCAATATACTCTAGCAAAGAAATCTAATGGTAAAACTAAATACAAGAAGACAATTGCTTTATTTTAATGTGTTTTCTTCATATTTATGCTCACTCTTCTTACTAAAGCAAAAACTATGTCATAGTTACATTACTATACAAGCAACTAAATTAAGATTATATAAACACAATCCTATATTAAATTCAATTTGAAAATGCTTGCCTTAACTTATCCCATGTAAATAACCACTTATTTTCAGTAAAACAGATTATGAACACTAGCATGTGAATCTTTCTTAGTTAGAAGCCCCATTTGTTAAATTATTTGTTTCTAAATAGCATCTAATATAACAAAAAGCTGACAGAAACAGTTTAAAATAAACTACTACTGGCTACCTGCTTAGAAAGCATTTTTGTTCTCCTTATCACACAATAATACTTTTACTTTTCTGCCTAAAAAGATAAAATAAATGTACTGGTTTGAGGTTAAGAAAAAAAAAACATTGTTGAGCATAAAAACGATTACCCAATATATATATTTATATATCTCCCAGGATAGTGTGATTAGACAACCCCATATTTTCAGATGAAAATTATTTGCTAAACACTTCCTTCCACTATTGTGTTCTATAACTCTTCACAAATGCCACATCTAGTTATTGCTACTGTAGTGAGTTAAATTCTAATGTGAGAGAGGAAGAGAATAAAGAAGAAAAAGAAGGGTAACCACAAGCAAATCAGGAGATTACAGAACTTCACATAAAAAATCTAAGTGATGACCTAGGAATATTTTAGCTAGAAGCAAACAACATATATGAAATATTTTTTTCTCTTAATTCTTTAAATATCCAGTATTATTTGTATGTCTTAGATATTAAAATTAGATATGTTTTTCCCCCACCAAAATGCACCCGTTGCCTTAAGGAGGTTTTAGATAGTATATTTTTACTTCCACAAAGACTCTGAAATTGCTCTATACCTGGGACAATGTGGAACTCTATGATGCTTAACCGACTATATAATAGCACATAATTGCCAATTTTCACTGCTTCCAATGAGGCCTGACAACTCACCAGCTTATAGCAGTGGCAGACAACTACAAAAGAAATTTTTACTTTTTAAAATTCTTTTCAGAAAAGATCTCCTGAAAATTCAAATTGAAAAAAAAAAAAGGTTTATAAATAATGGAACACACTGCTATACTTAACCAGGTTTTAAATCCTTGCAATATTCCTTTCACATCGAAGAAGGTCCAGGAGTTGCAAGTAAAGCAATGCATTTAACAACTTCTTAAAAGCAATCACAAAAGTAATAAATATAAAAAATCATTCTTAATTACCTCTGTTGAGTGATGCTGAACTGTTTATATCTCCAGTGATGAAGGAAGACTCTGACTGCTTTCGGACCGTGTCATTCCACATTCTGCGAATTCGGCTCTGGATGGGGGAAAAAGAAAGGAACTGAACTCACCAGGCAGTGAGTTTTCACACAAAACATTCTTTTCTTTCTGTCATAGTTATATGAGACCTCTGTTTTTCACATTTGGCAAATGTACAACATCTCTATGAAGTAGTAGTACATCAGAAACTAATGATAACAATTGGTTTTCATTAAGTGCATTCCTCAAAGTCTATATAAAAATAATTGTAACTACGGAAAAGGAATGAATGTAATGTACTATATCAATTAAATATGATGAAGATATAAAGAAGTGTACTCTAGAATGTTAGATTTTAATGAGCTTAATTTCCATAGAAAACCAAATTTTTTCATTGTAACTTTTGTGGAAGTTTTATTTAAATATGTGTTAGGTTGTCAGTTTTATTAACAAAAGATTTAGTTTAAGAATTTGGACTCTTGCAAGAGCTTTATTAGAATAAAAAAAGTGTTATTAAATGCATCTGAACTTCACATTTTCCATAAGTTTTATAAGAAGGCCAATATAATTTTTGAAGTTACATACTACCTTGGCTTTTCTTTCTCTTGAAGGACCTAAGGAAAGCCAATTCACACTTATTCATTCCTTTAAAGAAAAAAGTTTTAGTGCAAACTAACAATTCTTATACTAAAAAATTTTACATTCTTAAATTCAGTTTTCTAAGGGTTGGACTATCAACAAAAGCAGTATAATTATTTTCTAATGGGAAATTGTTTTATTCTGTTTTGCTATTTTATTGATTTAGGCATCAGAAATTATTAATGCTTTTGTATGAGTAGGAAACAAAACACTTTTCCAAAAGTGAAAGTTTTAATAACTATGACGACTACTAATGGTGAACCATGTACACAGCTGGCTACTTTGCAAATATATTTGGACTTCTTAAATAACAGAGTACCTAATCTTAAAATAGTGATAATCAATTCCATGAATCTTGGGAAGTTTCTCCTTCTGAAAGACTATCTGTACTGTTATGTTTGTCAGAATACACACATGCAAAGTACAGAGCAAAATTAATAAACAGCAAAAGAAAACTGGTCCAGGATTAGGCTCTGAGGACTTGAGAAATGTTCCTATTGAAAAATACTTTAAAATTTCACTGGGAATTTTAAAAAACAATTTAAATTTTAAATTTTAAAATAATTTAAAATTTTCAGTGTTCACTGGGAACACTGGATAAATCGAAAGCGTACACATTCGTTTGTTGAATTTACTAGTGTGTTAACTAGTTAATTAATTAAAATATTAATTACCCTCTAATGCATGCCAAATACTAACCCCAACAATACAATAGGAAAAGGCAAACACAAAATGTTTCTTTATTTTTTTTCCCTTTGTTCTTATCTTTCATGAATCTTTTAGGCTATTAATTGGCAGATTATTGCAAAAGTATAATAATGAGACCTCAAATCTACATAGAAGCACTGTTATAGCTGAGAAATATGAATTAAATGACCATCAGTGGATGAATAGATGAACAGTGATAGAATTATATACAGCAATAAAAAATTTAAAGATGAAAAGCCTTCCAGAACAGCACAGATATCCAAAGAAAGAGAACAATAAAAAAAAACATGTACATATGTGAATAAATACTGAATGTGAATAAATTATTCCATGTAAAAAGTATTAAATACACACTAAATAAAGTGTACTGATAAAAATTTAGATTCTGGATATATTTGGAGATGTATGATTAAGACATATTCAAAGAGCTTATGAGTTACTCAGAAACTTGATTTGTGGAAGGGTAATACTTCACTGTGTCACAGATTTATATTCCGTGTACTTTGTGAATGTGTTATAACATGATTAAAAAATAATTATACATGATAAGGGGATATGGTCTATCTAGGAAATCTGAAAATAATGCACTGACATGACATCTTAACTGAGAATTAGAAGAGTTGTTATTTATTTATATGTGCTGCTCCCATCATCTCATCATGTATTTGTCTCTACTAGGCTAGCCACACCTGCTTCCCTGCCACTCCTTTATATGCTCTGCATGCTTTTGCCTGGGAATTGATATAACGGCTCTGTCACTTCGCGTGTTCTCTCTAAATCGAGGTATAGACAACTCCTTTATCTCTAAGTTTGGTCAATTTTTTCTCCTTAAAAGGACCAAACTACATTAATAGAAACTGGAAATACAAAGTGAAGAGGTGCACACACACATGCTATTCATGAAAGTGTGTATATGTACACATTAATTCTGAGTGCCATACTGTGTATTTTTCATGTTTTCAATGCTAAAACATTACAAGAACTCTAAGAGGTATCATTTATTCACTGGAGATTTCAAGGTTAACATGTCACAGACCCAAAAAATGGTATAACCTATATTTGGATCAAGTCAGGTGGCTCTTATACTAGGAGGCTAATATTTATTACATTTTATCAAATAGTAGTTGAACAGGGAAAAGAAAAGGAGCAAAATCTAATTTTCACTGTCAGAAGAAAAGTAATATGACATTTAGTGCAGTCAACACTTAAATATTCAAATAATTAATCAGGATATACCATAGAAAACTGAAGTCAAAATTATTAGTACAGGATACTACACATTATGTTATAAAGAAATAGAAATATTTTACCAGGAACACAAAATTATCTTTTTTTTTTTTTGGAAATGAAGCAACTATTAGAATAAGTCAAGCAAATAACAGAAATTAAATTCATGAGATTCAAAGGGAGAGATTTCAAGCAGAGAAAAAAAGGAAAATGTTTTATTTCTTATGTTGGCTGTTGAGTTCACAGGTATTCATTTTATTACTATGCTTTGCATTTTAAAATATGTTATGCATGTTTCTGTTCTTCAAATATTACATAACTGTATCTACAAAGTCAATAAAAGTAAATGACAGAACAATTAAAGGAAGGGCAGAGTAAGAAGAGTAATATTTCATTCGATAGCCTTTAAGCATAAACATGTACATCCCTATGCCTATTTTTATGAGTAAAGAGTATTCAGCTTTTTATAAGTGACTAATATCATGAAGCAGTTACATGAAAGTAATAGAGGAAGAGAATTTTTCTTTTAATGTCACAAATCATATATCTCCAATATCAACATTGTCAATATTTTTTAGAGGATTACTGTGTTGGAAGGAAACGTAATTATCGCTAGTCACATCTGAAATAAAATAAATTCCTTAATATTTTGTGTAAAGTACTAAATTCCTCTTTTATGTCTTCCATATTCATGCAGTTGGAAACAACATGAAATCATTAATTATTATGTAAATTTAGACTAATTTCATAAATTTATTGCAGTGGCCTCTTAAAATTCTGTCATAAATTATCCCCCCTTGAGATATTAAAAGAACAAACTATATGTGTTAAGCAATAGGAATTATGCGAGGATAGCAACTTCTAACAGAATATAGGGAAGAGATATTTCATTTCAATTAATAAATATCTTTACCTGTGAGCCTGTGGAGTAACGTCCAGGAGTTCGAGAACCAGATGTTTTCCCTGAGCCAATAGAACTCTCTGTACTTTTGCCACTACAGCAATGCGTTCTCAGGCATTTTCCATACTCTTTTCGAACCTAGCCAAATGAATATTAACTTATATTAGCAAGTAAAACATTTCAGCTAGGAACTATGATATAAAATAGATGGGCATTTTATTTTGGTGATAGTAAAAACAATTATTCCCTTGCCCTACAGAATATATTTTACAATATAAAATACCAATAGTCATACCATAAAGCATGAAATGTTGATAACTGGAAAATTTTAAAGCATCTCCCTCACTCCCACTGCCCCCACACCCACATTCATGTTCATCTCATCAATCAGTACTACTTCTGAAATCAAAGGGCAAATATTTTAGGCTGGCTCTTAAAGGTAAGATTTTTTATTCAATATAAAGGGATCTACTGGTAAAGGGATAGTTCAGCTATTGTTCCTTAGACAGAAATGAGGGAGTTACAGAGAGTGAGGCATGTAGAAAGAGATGGAAAGAAAGGAGACAACAAGGAAGAGGAGAGTGTGAGATAATATTTAAAGACAAAAAGTAAGTATTTTTAAAACTCTTTCTTTGAAGTTTATTTCTTTTTAAAAAGAGGTCAAGTTTTCTATTTTACAATACAAAATTCAAGATATTTAAATCGTATTACTTTAAAATACTGTCTTTCAATAATCACAGAGAAATGTGATTGATATTTTAATAGTATTGTTGATTACAATAAGAGAAAAAAGATAAATGTTTTTAGTTAATGCTTTCAGTAGAAAAATATGTCCACAGTTTTGGGCAAAGCTTTTATCATGTTTATTTATTTTCTTTACTACTAACTTACTCAAATAAGAAATATAAAAATAAATACTAACTGTCTTAAATCATCTCTCTTCTGTAAATAACAACAAAAATAATACTCAACCATATGTCCATCAACTAAAAAACATTCTGGGACATTTTATCATATTGTTTATATATTCACAAATTACAATATGAAATAGTATTGTATATGTTATTCTTCGTTTCTTCCTTATTGATTTTATATGTTCATAAACTTCATAGTTTGTGACAAGAATATACCAATGTAATTTTATTTAAAACAAAATTATAAATATTTGATTTTGGAAGACTTATTAGAATAAAAGCAAAAGAAGCTAATACAGCAAAACTATTATTGAAAACCAAAATACTATGCCTACTAATGTAAAATTCATTTGTCAAATATATAGCAGCATCAGAGAGTGAATATATTGTTAAAATTATTAATTTTTTAGTGTGTCACAGAAGCAATTAGAGTAAGGTTAATCAAAGAATGGATGAGGAGCATTAATTTGAAATAGGTAGAGGTACAAAGGAAGTCTTCTCAAAAAGAATTAAGTAGACAATTTTGAAGACAATTTTCAAAAGATAGGTTGGGATTATTTTATGCTATAGAGAAAGGAAAGAGAGGAGACAGGAAGATGTATAGGCAGTTTTAGTAAAACAGGGAGGCATGATAAGCTAATATTTGAGATCTTTATCTCATCTGGAATAGCAAAATTTCATATTTTTAAATATAATTGAGATTATATTGATTTTGTCACCAATCTCTTTTATGCAGTAGTTTTCCATTATTAGAAATGATTATTTTTATAATCCAATTCATATTTTGTTCATTTAAAAATAAAAAAACTAAGTGTCTATCCACTTGTACAAGTGTATAAAATATGTGTGTTTGCTAAGGTGGATTAAAGAAGCTGCATTTGGTTAGGGTGCTAGGTCCCTCTCTCAAAATTAAATATAACAACACCAAAAAGGTTAAGCAATGAAATCCTGAGAAATTTAAGCAATGTATCTTGTGTGAAAAAAAACCTTTATCCCACAGGTACTATATAATCAGAAAGTTCTTTCTAAAATGCCACATTTCTAACATGACTTCATGACCAACACAAGGTCTGGTATATTGTTAACCTTATTATTAAATCTTCATCAATTAAATTGTCACATCTATATCTAAAAAATATATATGTATACTTCATTTATAATTTAGAAGGCTTAAACAAAATCTCTACCCAAAGGGAAACACTATATTTGTTGTAACCTACATCACTTTGTTTTACCTAATGTACTAACAAACAATGGATTTCTTTTAAGAATATACAGTGATTTTAATGACGTAATTAAAAGCTAAGCAAACATTTTAGGAGAGGGCAAAGTCAAGAGAGTAAAGAGGGGAGAGGATGGTATGGGAGTAAAAAGGAAGAAAGTAAAAATTGGTATACTGCTCTTCCAAGCACAAGGCAGCAATTTTGTTAAGACACAGGAATTCATTAGGAACTATTTTCTTAGTATAAAAATGTTGAAAACTCCAATTTTCCAATATCATTAAGATATTTGAACTGATCACATAAACCACTAGCAAATAAACATGCTTGGGATGCCAAGTTCCACATTAGCAATGACACTAACTAAATTATTATACTGACTTTATATTTTCTGCAATTTGATCTGAAATTGTAATTATGTGCTTTAAAAAGAAGATAGAAACATACTAGGGACTATGTATATGAGAAATTTTCTTCATTTTTTTTGGAATAAATGTTACGTGATCTTTCAAACATCTGCATATTCTAATCTATGTGCTATGTCACCACTTCTTAACTCAATCATATGATATATTTTATTTCAATATGATATTCTAGAATCAAAAGACAGAAAGAAAATATACATTACTGATAATATATATTTATTATATATTCTCAGTTCAAAAATAAAGCAATCATGAAAACTTCTATGAGTATATGATATACTTGAGTGTATAGCAAAAGAAAAGGTGATTAGAATGGAATGATTGGACATGCTGATGTCACAATCATGCAATCCATACTCAGGAAAGAAATGACAATTCAAAGTTTGATGTTTGGTAACAAGCTGATTCAATATAAAAATGACCCTATTAAAATGGAATATTTCATATCTATCTAAAAATGAACAAATGCATTAGCATGGATATATTATTGAATTCAACTAGGTGATTTATGAAAAAACTCTTAAATATTGTTCAAATGCCCATGCTACTTCAAACATCTATAATTCAATGCAATCCTTCTTAAAATTCTAATGGTATTTTTCATAGAAAAAAATCTAAAACTTTTCTACAGTCATAAATGACTCCAAATAGTTAAACAAACTTAAAAAAAAGTTAAAAAGTTACACTGCTTTATTTAAAAGTATTCTGCCAAAATACAGTAATCAAAACAATATGATACTGGTATAAGAAAAGCACCAATGTAATAGAATCAAGAGTATAGAAATAAGGCCTCCTTGGGAATGAAAAGGGTAAAGTCTTTTCCATATAAAGTCAACTTGGACCAAATCGATACTTCTACAAAACACCAAGAACTAAATTAAGGAAGTGCAATATCTTTAATAAATTAGTGTTAAATCTGATTAACCATACACAAAAGAATGAAAGTGGACTGCTAACATGAACCTTTTACAAAAATCAAACCAAGGGGAATTAAAAACTTAAACATAAGAACAAAAAGCCTAATAATCCTAGACAACACTTAGAAGAGTTCCTTTACTTTGGTCTTGGCAATGGTTTTCTAGATATGTATGGCAACTACAGAAGAGCAGAGAAGATTTGCCAGTCATGTATCTAATAAGGGGAAAATATTCAAAATATATAATAATAGTTAGACAAATCAATATCAAAACACACCTACACGCAAAACCCAAAACAAAACTACAAATCTGATTAAAACGTGGGCAGAGGAAGAAAAATACTTTTTTTTTTTAAACAAAGGGTCCAACTAGCTAAAGAATAAATGAAAAGATGTCACTAATCTTCAGGTCAGTGCAAAACAAAACTACAATTAGCTATCAGCTCACACCTGTTAAAAAGCAACATGGATGAAGTTGGAAGGGATCCTGCTTAGTGAAATAAACCAGAAAGAAAAAGAAAAATACAGGATGGTTTCACTCATAGTAGGAACATAAGGGATCGGGGGGAATAAAAGAGAGAGACAATAAAGGGAGTAGAGAAAAATGAAAACAATGAACAACTATAAACCAGAGTCCTTTTATGGGGGTTAGAAAGGAGAATAGGATCAGAGCTGGGGTGGAAGAATGCACTAGACTATGGTGATGGCACACTGGTGAAATGGTGGTGGGAAGACTATGGGGATTACAACTGAGATGAAAAATGCACAAACGGGCCCTCCCTGGTGGTGCAGCGTGTTAAAGCACAGCACTGAGAATCTAAAGCCACTTCTGCATGAGTTTGATTTCCGCCTGCCCTAGAGGTGACCACATGGCGTGGCAGACCTCTCCTGACTGGCCCGCTGCTCCCCTCAGCAGTGTACTTCGTTGATCTGCCTGTTCTGTTCCTCACTCTGTCTCTGGTGAATCCTCTCACCACCCCTAAGCCTCTGGCCTGTACCCCAGTTCTGTATGCACAAATAAATTAAATAAATAAATAAATCTTAGAAAAATGCACAAATGGAAGAATGATGTAAAATAATAATAATAATAATAATAAAATAATACCTATAATTAAAAAAAATGATTTGAGTGTTTGTGAGGATATGAAGAAAAGTGAACTCTTGGAAAGTAAAATGGTTCAGTCATGGAAAATAGTGTATCAGTTCCTCACAATATTAAAAATAGAACTACCCTATTATCCTGCATTCCCAATTCTGGTATAAAATCAAGCATGACTTAGCACCATATACACAGGTAAGAGACCACATATATGACAGTAATCACATGTATGACAGTGTGTAATAAGCTATACCACTGAAGCTTGTTTAATTATATTCTATGACATTTACACAACGCTGAAGTCACCTATTGATTCACTTATCAAAATATAAATCTATAATTTCTGTGAAACTCATAGAAAAAGATAGTAAACAGTAGTTTCCAGAGGTTGGGAGTCGGGGAAATGGAAGATACTGACTGGGGCATACAAATACTTAGCGATAAGATGAGTAAGTTTGGGGCATCTAATTTTTATCCACAGCATGTTTTTTTATAGTTAACAGTGTTAATATATTATGTACTTGAAAGTTCCTGAGAGAAAATCTGAAATGTTTTTACCACATGAAAAAAGAAATGGTAATTGTGTGAGGTAATGCAGGTATTAGCTAACACTAAGGTAGTAATCATTTCACAATATATGTGTATCAAGTGAACATATTGTACACCAGAAACTTACACAATTGTATCTAAAAATATATATATTCTTCTAAAAAAGAAGAAAGAGAAAAATTTCCTAAGATTATTCTGTAATTTCAAAGACAAGTACCTATTATTTTAGAAAAAAAATCCATTTATTCTTTGATGTTGTGCCATGTTCTTGACACCAAAGAAAACACCACCAAAATTATAAGAATAAAAACAAAGAATTAGATGAAATAACTGTAAGAATGCTACTTTTTTTTATGAATTATATATTAAAAAAACCTTCTAAATCAGGGATTGACATTTTTTTTTTTCATGAAGAGCCAGAGTTAAAATTTTATGCTTTGTGAACCAAGAGGCAAAACTAAGTATTTTGTGCTATATACTTATTTTGATTTTGAAGTTAACCATTTAAAAATGTAAATACCATTTTTGTCTGACTGGTTGTAAAAATTAAAGGCAGTTGGAAAAATCTGACCATGATTGCCAAACTGCACTTGATGATATATAAATTTTTTTTTAAAGATTTATTTATTTGTGCATACAGAATTGGGGTGCAGGTCAGAGGCTCAGGGGCAGTGCGAGGCTTCACCAGAGACAGTGTGGAGCAGAACAGGCAGATGGATGAACTACACTGCTGAGGGGAGCAGCGGGCGGGTTAGGAGAGGTCTGCCATGCCATGTGGTCACCTCTGGGGCAGGCGGAAAACGAAATCATGAAAAAGAGGCTTTAGATTCTCAGTGCTGTGCTTTAACACGCTGTGCCACCAGGGAGGGCCGATGATACATAAAATTTAACTTATGTTAAATATACTAAAAACTTTAGATTAACTCTTGGATCTTGAGGTTCAAAATTTCTATCAGAATATCACAAGTGATTTCTAGTCATTCCTTGTATAATGGTAAGGCAATAAAATAAAAATTGATAAAACTCTGTTTCTGACTAATAAAGAATTACAAACAAAATAATGTCTAAAGTATAAAAATATAAGCACTCTAGAAAATTTCTACATAACCTTAAATTTTTAAGACTCATTTCAGATTATAGATAATGTATGAAAGGTGGGAGTAAATCTGGTCTACTACACTTGAAGATGGTCTAATATTCCCTAGTTATTGATATGTAGGCAAACTTTTCTTTTCTTTTTTTTAAGCTTTATTTATTTATCATACTGGGATACAAGCCAGAGATGCAGAGGGTGAGAGGATTCACCAGAGACAGAGTGGGTAGCAGAACAGGCAGATCAACGAAATACACTGCTGAGGGGAGCAGCAGGGGACTGGAGAGGTCTGCCATACCATGTGGTCACGTCGGGGCAGGCCGGGATGGAACTCATGTGAAATGGCTTTAGCTTCTCAGTGCTGTGCTTTAACCCACTGCGCCACCAGGGAGGGCCACTTGTCTTTTCTTTTAATCTTCTGATTTTACTCCTATCTCTGTGTGTGTGTATCACCTGCCTCCACAAATCTCAGAAAAGCTGCTAATACACAAATTCTATGTATCTCCCAATAAAAATTTAAGGTCAAGTCTATAAGAAAATAATTTTTATGCATTATCTAAATCAAAAAGCTATGCTTTTGCCTTTTGCTGTTAAACATGCTCGTCATCTTGTCTTTATTTTCTACTAGTTTCTTCTATTCTAAAAAAAAATAAAATTAAGGATATAATATATATATTCTTAGAAATAAACACGTCAAGAATAAGTTATTATAATATGCTATAATTGCTGTGTCATCACAAAAATGTATGCCATTTGTTTCTGAATCAAGAATCCTAGCTTACCTTCTTTTGTAGGACACAATGGAAAATGAATATAAACATTCCCTGTAGAGAATTGAAAATGGTGAAGAGATACGCCATGATGACTGTGCTTTCATTAATATACATGAGTCCAAAGGCCCAGGTCAATCCTAACAGGCAGAGAAGAGCTATTGCACCTATAACCCATGACCTATAGAAAGAGGAAAAAAAAGGGGGGTTATTAATAATTGGTCTTTAGTTAACACAATATCATTAATAATATCAACACTGAAAAAAATCTTATAGTAAATTTTCTTAACAGAATATGTAAGACAGGTGGAATAATATTTTAAGATATTAATGGGGACTAAAATATCAAACTTGAGGAAATATACATGAATGAAAATGTTATGAACATAGAAATTAATTTAAACAAAAGCAGATCTGTATACTAAATTACTCATGTATTTGTAGCACAGATGTAAATGGTATGGAGATGTAATTATGGTAAATGACAATAGGGAAAAAGCCTATAAAGCTATGTGAGTTTCTACTGGTCACATTGGTATGATGATGTTTATTTTGATTGCATCTCCATTAGATCTTCATCTGGTACATTTTTACCCCATTTTTCCAAATTTCCATTTTTTCCATAAAAATGTTAATGTTTGCTGACAACAATTTATTAGAAGGAAACCATATTTAGAGTAGACATGATTTTTTAAAATTATTTTTCTGATTTTACAGTTATGTAGAACAAATATGAGATCGAGTGGATGGGGAAAATAATTCAACTCTAGGTCACAATTTGCTTTCTTCAGGCTTTGATTGCTGTCTTACAGGTCATGGTGGACCAGACTAGAAATTAGGCGATTGGCAGCTTTTTTGAAAAGGAACTTAAAGGCTAAGGGCACTTTCATTCTTTGAAATATCTTTAAATTCAAGGGATATAATGAAGCTGAGAATGGGATGGAGTGGTATGAAAAAATAGTCTAGAATGGAAAACAAATTCTCACTCTCATTCCATTTTCTTGGTTTCCTCCAAGCTGCCATCCACAATAGTTATAAACAGGTAACAAAATTACATATATTTATAGCTGTGTTATATATATAGAATGAATCTACCCAATAGACAGGAATATAATAACTGAAAATGGAATTGTTCTCAACTCCTCTGTAAGAATATGGGAGAACAGGATCAAATCAGTCTAAATCTTGATACATTCATGAATCCACCCTTTCTTTTCCCCCAACACCTTCCATGTACAGTGTACATAATCTTTTTTATCCAGCAGATTAGCATCTTCCACTTACATTGTCTAAGGAAGAAATATGAGAATTGAAACATTGCAAAATAAAAGGGGGAATCATATATGTTCACCATAATCTGAAGCTGGGTTTAATAAAGTTTTCAAGGAAAACTACCTGTTAAGAAAGATATGATCCCCAAGTCGTTAATTTAAAGACTTAAAAATAATAAGCTCACATATTTACTATTTTTTTCTTCTACAACCATTAGCCACTATATTTTATATACATTTATAATTTAAATGCCCACTAAATTTAACATGTTTACTTACAGTATTAACATTCTTGAATAAAGAATCCCTAAAGGAATATTGCCACTCCATATGGTATAGGTGCTTATATGAGTTAAGAATACCTTAGAGTTATAGGTTTTTCTACAATTAGCTTCAGAATATTAGAAACTGTCAGTTATCAGCTTCTTAAAGGGACTGGAAAAAGGAAAAATGGGAAGCATTGCCATAGAATATGGCAAAATTTCTACTTAGTTTTAGAAACAAAGTGGTAGGATAAAATACTGAAGTCTATTACTCACTAGAAAGCACATGGTAGGCCCACAGCACATGCTATAAAATTGAAATGAGCCTAATTTCTTTAAAAAAAATAAAAAAGACAAGAGTATGGAGAAGTAAATGAAATGGCACTGGAAAAAATGAAAACCAAGGACTCTTCACCAGAAGAACAAACTGAAAGTCTATAGCAAGGTCACCCATAGGTTGCTGATCTTAAGTTTATTGTTGCAGGACATGTAATTTTAACACATACAAAGGAAAAAAGCCCATATGTGAACATTAACAATTATTCTTACTGATTAGTACAGACTTGTAGCTTGTTTCAGATACTTTAAAGGTGGATTCATAAACAAATGGCTCATTAATGAAAGTGATAGTTGTCAAATTTGAAAGAGAATTGTGCATATGTTAAACATAATTTTTGAAAGAAGGTTATTTTTTCTCATTTTAGGTATTTAATATAGAAATTAATTTGCATCAGTTGAATTGGGTAGCTTTATACCCATAAGATCATTTTGAAGATATGCCTCTAAGTCACCAAATAATTTTGGATGTATAATGCCCAAACAAACAACAAAATAAGGACATAATGCCACACAAAGGAACACTCATCACAATGAGAGGAGAAGGCTATTAAAGGCAGAACAAGTCTGTACTACATGAAGTTGGTAGTACTGGGGCACTGAATTCATGTGATAGCCAATTAAAATAGATAAAGCAGAACATTTTGGCAAGACACCTGCAGCATATTATTCTGCATGTAAGTTGTGTGCCTGATTATTTTCCTGCACAGTTTGCTCTTCTGCCTCAATGTGAATGACAGAAGCTCTAGTGATTCTTTCAGTACTGATCTGACAGCTGGTTCATGGGACCACACTGATAAATGGAATTTATCAGCCATTCAGGTCATTCTTACTTGATGAAGGGTCTGTTATCCTCATAGCTAAAGAATGCATAGACATAAAGACAAGAACACCAACATTAGCATTTTATGACAGAGAATTTTATATGAAAAATATTCTCCTGATCCCCAAAGTTTTCTTTCCCCCACCTCCCTAAATGTATCATAACTTTCCCTTTATTATTGAAGGTACCAAGATCACTGAAAATGACCAAGATCACTTAAAAACAAGGAATAAAATCAGTTTTACAGTACTGCAATATTCCTTATGAGACTCAAAAGTTCCAGTTTTTCATCATGTGCTCATATTACTTGTGACTTGACAGAGACATTTATTTCTTAGAGATCACATTTCTCTGGAGAATGAGAAATCTTATGAGCAATCTGGAAAAGGCTTGGGGGCATACTTAAAATGACAGATTTCATGTCACCTAAAGGTATTCTTACTCTGTTATATTAGTAGGTGAGATTACTTAATTATGGACACTGCACTTCTAAGTAACTTTAACATGCACAAGATTGACCTGACTTAAATCTGAGCATATATTCCTTTGAAAATAATCAATCCTGACTAAGATTCCTGAGGGGCGTAAAAATTATAACCACTCATAGTCATAGGAACCAACAGCATCTGTGCATTAGCACTTGTATTCACTAATTTAAGTAGTATACTGATAAAATAGAACTCCAGTACCAAATTAGCACAGATAACCTAGAGAACAGTTTGGATTATCTTTTTACAAATATAGTTGCTGCTCAGTGAATTATATCGCATAAAAGGAAAAGAAACTATGTTTCTTTTCTACTATCTCTAGCCAAAGACAATAGTTTCTGATATTATACACACACAAATAAAGTTCTTAGAAACTGTGATGCATTTTGAATTAAGAGAAATACTGATGAAAAATCTCACTCTCCAGAATGAGGCAAGAGTAAATAATGGAGAGTTAACCTGGGGTTAGAAGTCATTTTCCTGTAGCTTGCATTCTAGGGTAGGTATTTATTAGCTACACAATCTTAGGCAAAAAATTAATTATGCTCATTTACGCATCTATGAAATGATGATAACCATAATGTAAGTTCCTATGTTACAGTGTAATTTTTTTGTAATTAAATTATATATTGTGTATAAAATGTTCAAAACAATGCCTGACACATAGTAATTTCAGAAAATGTTACAGTGTTATTTTAGACATTGATCTTTGGTATGAGTTCCACAAGAAATTCAGTATTTCTCACCCCCAAATAAAACACCAAATGCATTAATATTGATTTTTTAAAGTCATTTGAGGATATTTCAGGAGTAATATTATGCAGTAAAATGGATAAAGAGAAAAATTTTTGCAGATGGAGTATGAAGTGACTATATGTGTGGTCCAATATGGTGACTCCTGGCCATATGGGCTCACTGAAATTTAAAATCAAGAAAAACAAAATAATGCTTAAAATTATGTTCTTTGGTCAGATTACTTATGTTCCAAATTCTCAGAAGTTTCAGTGGCTTTCATTTTAGATACAGTAGTGGCAAAAAATTTCTGTCTTCACAGAAATTCTATTAGATAGTATTTGATTAAGGCATACAAAGAGAGTTTTAAGCCAAGAAGTGAAATAAAAAAGAGATATTGAAATAATGCCATGGAAATGTGAGAGGTACACAAAGGAGAATAACTAAAATGTGATCATATTGCACAGTTATGAACTGTGCCTTAAAAAGGAAACTTGTATTCATATTAACATTAAAAAGATATAGAACAGGGTAACATTTATTCTATTATATGCATTCCCATTTCATTACTATAATACATCTGTAATGTCAAGTTCATAACTGAAAAGGTTCTTTTAACCATAATGTGCATAGTATGATATCAAATAAAGTTGCAATGATCCATATAGTGAAATACATGCAAAAAAATGTTTTACTAATTTATTAAACTATGAAAGTTTTTTTTTTTGTAAATGTTCAAGCATGCACTACAACTGCAGCAGTGATATATTTTAGCCTTAATAAATATTAAAAAAGAGAGGTCAGAGTGTAATTCATTAGGATTTGTTGGCAGCTATATAGATCAATCAATTTCTCTACTCAGTAAAAAAATATATATAACTCCAACACCAGTTACATTTAGTTATGGTCATGAGTTTAAGTATTGTCACTGGAATGTTAACAGAATGAATCATGCCATTTATTTGTCTTGACTATTTTTGACTCTTGAGGAGGGAGGAGTGAAATTTGGGAGTTATGAAAAAGCTACTGTAGTGTCTCAGTGCCAAAATACAAGTTGCTTACTGTAATGGAAGGTACCATTTTTGACTAAGACCACCTAGTTTTAAGACTTTTATAATAATAAAGTTTAAACCTATAATTTTAGAGTTTCTACAGATAATATATAATATAATATACAGTATAATATATATAGTTTATATATAATTAATGAATTATTTAATTTATATTTTTTATTTTTTTAGGAAAAGACTTTCTAATTATTCATCATAGAAACACATGCTAATTCATAAAGAACACTTTATTAATTTTCAACCGAGAAGGATAAATAATATACAGTAATTCAAAAAATAAAACTCACTAAACTTCCCTTTTATATGTCAGTGTCTTCCATCATTTTTATCAGATATTCTATTGACTCAGAGATTCAGTTTTATAACATCTCTCCACCATATGCAAATAAAATTGATGCTAGTAATATTGCAACCAATTATGGTGGCAAAGCTGTATGCCATTGATTCATTTTTCTTTTTAAAAGAACTTAAGTATAGTATTTGTTTCTCAGGAGGAATAATTTTATTCTAACTTATCAATAAAAATACATCTTAAGAAACCACATTCAGGGTTGTATGCTAAAACAATTTACCACAGCTATTTTAACATTTTGTAAAAATATGGATGTAAAGACTAATATGCTCTTGAAAGATGTTAACAGGAACTCATAGGTGATCTTGTAATTTATAAGAGATAATTTACTGGAAATAAAGTAAAATATCTTACACATATAATTTTCAAAACAACGAAAAATAAAATGCCTAACTTTTTAAAAATATATAGTTCTCTTTTGTCAAACACCCATTTTATTATTTTAGTATTATTGACACCTAAAACCGAACTTTACTTAAATAACAATGTCATTATATTATCCTTAAAAGTGGTCATTATAATCAAGATCAAATTTTTAGAAGTCTGTGCATAGGTTGATAATAATTATGCATGCAAGGATGTATTCTATAGCAATTCCAAAACACAGAAACTAGACCATTAAAATCTAGTTTGATGGAATCTTAGCTCCAAATACATTTTCTAGAGAAGATGTTTCTTAACTAACATTGTAACATACAAATAAATAAATCTATGGCATAAAGATTCCTAATACAGATGTAAGTATAGACAGACCATGAATAATAGATTAAAAAAAAGCAATGTGAATAAATTAAGTAGGCTATGGGATAGTCTTTCTATGACTTTAAAGTTACTGTACAAAATAGAATGTTGTTTTGGCATAATTTTTGAAGAAATGTCTACATTCAATATTTAACTTGCTTACAGCATTCCCTTCAAATTTATTTAGGTAGAATAGGTTTTTTTTTTCTGCTTTGTTTTCCTTTTTTTAAAACAAAAATGGAATAGTTTATTTTTACATCATTTTGTGCCTTTTCCATTTCAGTTGTAATCCCCATAGGCTTCCCTTCACCAAATCACCCATGTGCCATCACCATAGTCCAGTGCACTTCCCCCCCCACCTCATTTTTGATCCTAGGATTTTTTTTTTTAAATAGAATAGGAAGGGTAAGCTTTGGCATGAAGGAAGATAGGGCTGTAGCAGCTCTGAGAATCCCCAAGCTACAAGATCTGATTTTTAGTAATCACAAATGTTAAAGGAAAATTAATGGTTTAGAGGGAAGTATTGATGCAAATCAACTGCAAGATTAACTCTGGAACTGCTGGAAATTTAACCTTAACTAATTGATGGGTGAATAGTATGCTTAACTATAGGAGAATCTGTGGTATAAATATATATATAGATAATCTGATAATCTGATTAGTATTACATTTTTCCAGGTTCAGTATGCAGTTGAATTGCTTTGCCTGAAATAAAACTAATTAAAATCAAAGGGTTGACAGATTTTTCCTCTGGAAGTGGTTCGAGCTATTGCAGGAACAAGAAAGGTAGTGCATGCACATTTCTCAAGATAAAACTTAATTCTTTTTAGAAGGAGAAAATATTAATTTGTGTGTGTGTGTGTGTGTGTGTGTGTACCCCTTACTAGCACTAAGGCTCCCAAAAGAAGGACTAAGATTCAGTTATTCAAATGCTAAAAATAGTAAACAGTCAGCAGCATACAAAGCCAACAGTCCTACTGAAAATACACTTAGAAGTCATCTTTGGGGCACTGCTCGACCATACTACCAATCCAGAAGTCCTTAGTCACAAATACTGGAATAGTTTTCAGTTTGCAAAGGAAAAGGGGCCCCTATTCAATCTCCTACTGCAAACCTTAGTTTGGAACAAGGGTGTTTTAAATGGGATGTTATTAAAGTTTGCAAATTATCAGATACTTAACAACTAAATCTGTTGCTACTAGCAAAGTAACATCTGTGTGAGATAGCATTAACATATCAACTACAGAGTCATTAAGGGATATTTAAGATAGTATAGTGAGAAGAGTAGTGGTCAGAGAAAACTTAATCATTCATGTTTACCTCACAGTATTGAAAATGCTTGATCAATCAGTAACACAGTAGAAATCCTGACTGTTTTATATATATTTCAAATATATCTTATAACATGGAACTATAATATTCTAGAATTATGTTATTATATTTAATTCCTTCTTTTCCTCTCTATGTATTTTACTACATAGGAAGATGAAAAGGAAAAGTCATTTAGATATAATTTAACATTTCTGAGTAAAACATGGATTTTTTTCAATTTGGTCATATTTTTAAGACACTAAAAATTAAATATTTTAAAAGTCTTGGAAAATGTGAAATTCTATTACAGAAATATAAGTCTATGAACAAAAGAGAAGATAAT